GTCAGTGAGATAAAAGACCTACATCTTACTGACAATGAAACCATGGTCAGTTTTGATGTTCAGTCTCTATTTACATGCCTACCTGTTGAAGACTGCATCTCAATTATAACTAGGAAACTAGAGAAAAATAACATGCCAGCAGAATATGCAGTACTACTAAGACATTGCCTTACATCTGCCTATCTATTGTGGAAGGAAGAGTTTTACAAGCAAGTAGATGGTGTTGCGATGGGTTCACCTGTATCTCCCATTGTCGCCGATATATTCATGGAAGACTTTGAGGAGAAAGCCCTCCTTACTGCACCTGTTACACCAAGGATCTACAAGCGGTACGTAGACGATACTTTCAGAATTTTACCATCAGACAAAGTAACTGCATTTTTAGAACATCTTAATTCCATAAACACTAAAATTCAATTTACTATGGAGTTAGAGGCAAATAATTCCTTACCTTTCCTAGATGTGTTAGTCATCCGAAATCCTAATAACACCATTGGTCACACTGTGTATAGGAAAAGGACCCATACAAACCGATATTTAAACGGTGAATCTCACCACCATCCTTCACAGTTAGCTACCGTGGGCAAATCTTTGTTACAGAGAGCACGAGGGATCTGTGACAGCAAACACCTGGCCGCCGAGCTTCAGCACGTCAAGCAAGTTCTGCACGACAACAAGCTTCGGGTCCCGCGCCTACGTCACAGTGACCGAGTGAAGCCAGCCACAGTCGAGCGTGTGCCTGCTGTACTACCATATGTCAGAGGTGTCACAGACAAGATTGGCTATATCTTGAAGCGAGCTTCTATTAGAACATTCTACAAGCCGCCGAAGAAGATTAGTCAGTTCCTACCATCCGTCAAGTGTCATATTCCTCTACAAGATGCAGGAGTGTACAAGCTTGATTGTGAATGTGGTCTCTCTTATATAGGACAAACAAAAAGATCAATTAGGACCCGCGTAAAAGAACATATAGCTGATGTGAAGCATCAACGTTCCGGGAAGTCTGCAGTTTGTGATCATATCCTAGACGGACCCAACCATTACATCAGATTTGATAGACCACAAATCCTCGCGAAAGAACACCGTTTCCTACCAAGGATGATACGTGAAGCTATTGAAATTAAAAAAACATCCTAATTTCAATAGAGAAGGAGGCTGGGTACTACCACCTGCTTGGGATCCTATAATCAATAAAATTAAAACTAAACCCAAGCATACCACTGCAAGACCTCAGGATGTAGTCAGTTCATTTTGCATAGATCGGACCATAAACAATAATTAAAAAAGCTGAAGGTACTCCGGGTTTAACAATGACATCGGGACGTCAGTCATCTCAGTACCCCGTGACCATGGGTGCTGGAAAGCGCCCGAAACGTCGGGAATTAAAAATAAAAGTAAATAAAAAGTAAAAATAAACACGATAAAATCCGTAAAAGTAGTTTTAATCATGTATAGTGTTCGCGTAAATATAAGAAATCATTATGTAAACCAGTAAGGACTGGAAATAGCAAATAAAATACGCCGATTAGAAGATCTAAAGACCAAGCGCGCAAGATACATAACAGCTTTAAATTTCTTGAAGAGATGCAGAGATCATAATCTCATTCCTACGTGTGTCAAGATATCCACTAAAAAAGACATTCGAGGAAGCGCTAAGATCTTAAATCAGGCTAGTAAAAAGTTGTTAATAACGGTGATTCAGCAAAAACGTACCGATCTATATTTCATAAACAAAACCATAGACAATTCGTCCAGTGAATTAGACAGTTTTATCGACATTTGATTATAAAAATTGCATGGAAACTTTAGATAAACGAGAAACAACTAAATACAATGAATGCAAAAATAAACACATTGATAAATACCATAAATTAACAACTAAATCAAATGTCCAACATACGAAATCGTTGACCACAGACAAGAATCATAAACAACGCGCTGTCTATAACTTATCAAAACAAACACTGGACGACGCCACAATATAAGTTTTAGAAAAAGGTATTAATTTCGCAATAACACCGCGAAAAATACCGTATGAGGACATTATCTGTAGTGTTGAGGACTGTCTGTATAAAAATAATATTGGTAATGAAGATTTAGAGGCCATACGTCAAGACATCTCGTCTATGTTACGTCGAAGTTCAGCGCCGAAATTAAATCTTCCCAAAAATGAATTTAACGCGTTTAAAAACTTACGCAACAGAACAGAGCTTACGATTCTCCGCGCAGATAAAGGTAATTCTACGGTTATAATGGATACGTCAGATTACAATTTTAAAATACAACAACTTTTGTCGGATGAAACTACTTATCGAAAGGTCAAAACAGACCCTACAACTAATACGCTTAAAACAACTAGCGATCTTAATTAAGAAATACTCCGAAAAACTGAATCTGGACGTTAATTCGATAATACCTTCATGTGCCAAACCACAGAAGTTGTATGGGTTACCAAAGATACACAAACTGAATGCTCTATTACGTCCAATAGTGAGACAGATTGATTTGCCAACTTACAGATTGGCTCAATACTTAGCTAAAATATTATCACCACTCAGAGGACACACAAGAGCACACACTAAGGATTCATACCATTTTGTCAGTGAGATAAAAGACCTACATCTTACTGACAATGAAACCATGGTCAGTTTTGATGTTCAGTCTCTATTTACATGCCTACCTGTTGAAGACTGCATCTCAATTATAACTAGGAAACTAGAGAAAAATAACATGCCAGCAGAATATGCAGTATTACTAAGACATTGCCTTACATCTGGCTATCTATTGTGGAAGGAAGAGTTTTACAAGCAAGTAGATGGTGTGCGATGGGCTCACCTGTATCTCCCATTGTCGCCGATATATTCATGGAAGACTTTGAGGAGAAAGCCCTCCTTACTGCACCTGTTACACCAAGGATCTACAAGCGGTACGTAGACGATACTTTCACAATTTTACCATCAGACAAAGTAACTGCATTTTCAGAACATCTTAATTCCATAAACTCTAAAATTCAATTTACTATGGAGTTAGAGGCAAATAATTCCTTATCTTTCCTAGATGTGTTAGTCATCCGAAATCCTAATAACACCATTGGTCACACTGTGTATAGGAAAAGGACCCATACAAACCGATATTTAAACGGTGAATCTCACCACCATCCTTCACAGTTAGCTACCGTGGGCAAATCTTTGTTACAGAGAGCACGAGGGATCTGTGACAGCAAACACCTGGCCGCCGAGCTTCAGCACGTCAAGCAAGTTCTGCACGACAACAAGCTTCGGTTCCCGCGCCTACGTCACAGTGACCGAGTGAAGCCAGCCACAGTCGAGCGTGTGCCTGCTGTACTACCATATGTCAGAGGTGTCACAGAGAAGATTGGCTACATCTTGAAGCGAGCTTCTATTAGAACATTCTACAAGCCGCCGAAGAAGATTAGTCAGTTCCTACCATCCGTCAAGTGTCATATTCCTCTACAAGATGCAGGAGTGTACAAGCTTGATTGTGAATGTGGTCTCTCTTATATAGGACAAACAAAAAGATCAATTAGGACCCGCGTAAAAGAACATATAGCTGATGTGAAGCATCAACGTTCCGGGAAGTCTGCAGTTTGTGATCATATCTTAGACGGACCCAACCATTACATCAGATTTGATAGACCCCAAATCCTCGCGAAAGAACACCGTTTCCTACCAAGGATGATACGTGAGGCTATTGAAATTAAAAAAAAACATCCTAATTTCAATAGAGAAGGAGGCTGGGTACTACCATCTGCTTGGGATCCTATAATCAATAAAATTAAAACTAAACCCAAGCATACCACTGCAAGACCTCAGGATATAGTCAGTTCATTTTGCATAGATCGGACCATAAACAATAATTAAAAAAGCTGAATGTACTCCGGGTTTAACAATGACATCGGGACGTCAGTCATCTCAGTACCCCGTGACCATGGGTGCTGGAAAGCGCCCGAAACGTCGGGAATTAAAAATAAAAGTAAATAAAAAGTAAAAATAAACGCGATAAAATCCGTAAAAGTAGTTTTAATCATGTATAGTGTTCGCGTAAATATAAGAAATCATTATGAGACAAAAATCTTAAAAAGAAAAAAACAGGTTTAATTATTGGGAGAGAAAATGGTAGATATTATAGTCTCTTCACGAGTATGCACATTTTTAAAGTATAAAATGAATTCTATTGAAAATAGGTTTTATATCAGGAACTCGCGGATAAATGATTTGCAAGTTAAATTTTGAAAGCAATATAAAAGTTGTGAATTTATGTCGTTGGCAGATTAGAAATTCTTTAGAATTGCCACACATACGCACGACAGGAGCGTGATTCCTGAGATGAGTTTTCGTGAAAAGAATATGAAATGTATTTAAGATGCGACAACGGGGATATTTACGCGAAACAGTTAACGATATGCAGTCAAGAAGGTCACTGCACTTAGCTTTAGAATGTCTACTACTCCATATCGTCCCGTGGATGTCGTAAGAGGCGAAAGAGGGATATTGAAACAGGTGATTGGCAGTAGCGTCTTCCTGATAAAAAACTCAAAATAAAAGACAGCAGTTGTCAACCCGCTTGCCAGGCGTAGCAACTATGGCAAAATCCCCCCTACGAGGCAATCTATGGGGGAGACCATAGTTCAGCATTGCACGTTTATAGGCTGTGATGGTAATGGTATATAGTAATTATTTTTGCCACAGTTCTCACGCTGGGCAGGTTCGCAGCCGCAGCTTTACATTAATAAGATGTTACCATAAGTCGCTGCTGACCATACCCTTTCGATTTCCTTCTGTTGCCTCTAACGATACTGTTGGGATAACTTGGGTTCGTGAGTTCTCTTACACCACCACCACCGTGCGATAGTTTTTGATTTTCGCTTAAATGTTAAGCCTGGCTGGAATTAAAACCAAGGACTCGCATAGTAAGTTAATAGGAACATTTTGATCCGAAAGTTCATGTGGATTAAGATTTAGACATTTAAAGCAATTTACCCCTGCTTGTATTCTAGCCATACGTTCCTCTTCTTGACGCTGCTTCTCCTTCAGAAGTCTCTCCTCCTCGGCCTCCCGAGCCAAACGCGCCTGTTCTGCCGCTAGGCGTTCTCTTTCTTCTCTTTCTTCCCGCTATAATCATAAGTTATGTTTCAGCCTATACATCCATCTGCTGAGCAAAGACCTCTCATTTCTGAAAGAGTTATGGAGCAATAAGTCTGACTGCTTCAGTGCGTGTTGACAGCTTCACATGTCTTCAAAATATTTTATTCCTCAAGCAACTGTCACATACATATACATTGCCCATATCGCTTGCTTTTGCAACATTAATATTGTTTCCAATCTGGCTGCAGATTCCCACAGTAATTTTACATGGTCATGAGACGGTAAAAGCAAGAATAGAATAGAATAATATCTATAAAACATAAAATATATCCCTATACAATTAAATAACCCTCACCAACTTTTGCATCTTGGCCTCGTACCGTTCCCTGCGTACTTCTCGAGCAGTTTTACTAACAGCTGCGTAGCGCTCGTACGCCGGTACGAGAGGCACCTGCTTCTCTGGCGGAACGTCTTCCTTTGGCACTGGAATTTCTTCGTATAGAGCGTGTCGCAGTAGCCCTTCAATGACGATTGAAATAGTAGCATTCAATTATATTAGATGGCCGCAAATATAAATTTATGTTAAGAAATAGGATATTTTATATAGTAGAATACTCTCTTTTTACCGTAACGAAAAAAATAGGGTGTATTAGATGAACGATATCGATGTCTATTTTTTTAATTTATTTAACGTTTATTATACAACTTATAATAAGGTGTATAAAGGGCAGACTTAATATGTTATAGACTTCGATCAACAATACCAACTAGATGTCGGGTCGCCGCAATAATTCCATCTCGGTAAATACGAGCGCACATGAGACGTGAGTTCTTATTTCGTTTAGTTCACTTGAAACACAGCCAATGTAAGCACGTCTCACAATGCCGCAATGTGTATTTAAAAGTTGCAAGAATAATGCCCGAAAAAGTAATTTAACGGCCGGAGTGTCTTACTTTCGGTAATTACATGTATTATATTTTATATTTTAACTACCAACAAATAATATCATATTTGAAACAAAATTACCGATCAAAACCACCGCTACAAATGTTTTGCCAATGTTGACCAATACACGTGCAAACATTTGTGAAACAGAACATGGACGCATGAAGTAGATTTGTATTGAAATAATTTTTAATAATTCGTTACCAAAACTTTAAATAATGGTAATTGATACCTTTGTCTTTGTTTGTGTAATTCCAATAGATGCTTTTTTTATTTTAGCGTTCCTAGCTTTCTTCCCCGGTCGAGCCGACTCATTCGTGCTACAACTATACTACTAATATAATTACAGCATGGCTCTACCACGCTTTAAAAGTGCAATGGGCGGTATTATAGCGAACCAATACGTACGAACATACAAACCAATGAATGGACAGGATTACACGAAGAATAAATATGACAAAAAAGTATACACATATTTATATATTTTTTTTTAATATATATACTATATACAGATACATACATACTACACACATACATACATAGAAAAAATAAAATAGATATATATTGAATTAGTTAATTAAATGCAACCAATATCCAATTCAATTCCTATTACTACATACTGTTACGAGCTTGAGGTTCGTGACAATAAAAATTGCCGATAGAATTACCTAAATTAACACTTTAATTTTCTTTACACCAATTAAAACTTAAAACACTAAAAATTAATCATACTGATTCACTTTATTTCACTCCGAAGCTTCGCTTATCTCGCCAAATTCAATAATTCCCCGATCGCATCTTGCAGCGCCTATTAATCCAAATTAGCACCGAAACATCCAGAATATTCAAGTAAACACGCGCAAGGGGCCGAGAATTCGAGCTTCAGCTTCTAGAAGCTTTGTTCTTCGTTCCGAGACTAGATGGCGCTGTCGGTTGAAAGATTAGTGATGTCATTTTCTGGAAAGCTCCCCTCGCTCTCGTCCCTGACACTAGATGGCGCCAATGCCGGATACATGACGTCGACTTATTCGCGCAACACTGCCCCCTCCTAAGACATGCTCGTCCCGAGCATTATCGGCCCCATAATAACGCGCCAAGCGATCCACATGGACGATTTTAGGAGTCCCTCTTGCGCCTTTCTGTAACGGCTCCGCAATGTCAAGGGCTGTCCTATCCCATGGTGCACCAACATTGTACAATTTCGATGCTCCTCTACTACGTGTCTGAGGTCCCCTCACGCAACAATACTATATTATATTTAATATCTAGTGTGGAAAGTATATGTATACCAACAATCATAAATGCCCAAATCATAAAAATAATTTTAATTAAACTTATGATTATATTATAAATTATTTTAGTGTTCAACGCGACTCAATACTTCCTGGATCAAATTCGAAGAAGAAAACAGAAACATAACAAAATGACGCAGCTCGCAAGGCAATAACGGGAAAAAGTGCTTTATTTGTTATAGCTTAAATTTGATTTCACACTAAATGTTATTTAACCTACGTCTATTCATTTCCAAGTGATAGGAGTATTGTATAGCTTTGTTCTTTTTTTTGTGACTAATGATCGTGAGATTTGTGACTTTATTATTAGATGCGATGGTTTTAATTAGGTTGAACTTAAAACTATTTTAATTTTTTGTCTGATTTCTTTAGTAAACAGATATAGCTGTCACGTTCACGCGGACAGTATATAACTATGATTTTGTACGTGACCCGTTATCAAGTTGGTATTGTTGATCGAAGGTTATAGCATTCTCTACCAGTCAACCACGTATGATTTGAGAAACCGTGGCAGGTGTATACAATCACTTCATATATTTAATAAATAAGTAAGTAATAAAGATATAACATACAATAATAAAAATACAATAATATACAAAATGCAAATAAATAGAAGATAGTTAGTAAAAATATACATTACAACTGAATGTCCGTTATACAATATAGAATAAATAATAAATATATAAACGGGTACTTATGTACCTAATCTATAAATAAATAAAATAAATTAATACAATAATAAAATAACACAATACTAACTAAAATACTAATCCACAATATTCACTTATAAAGTGAAAGAGAAATAAAACAGTGTTCGGATAAGTTACGGTGTCATTATTCATATAATAGAAATCTCTTAAAAAATTCTTCAGAAAGACATTCTGGAGCAGTGTGGACTGCACAGTAAAGGAGGAATTAAAGAAACCACTATTTGGTGGATCAAGACTTTTAAGACTATTTTGGGAACGGGGAACCCTATCGTAAGACAGATACTGAAAGTTATCCTTAAAATAAGAGGGAGAATTCGAGTCATTTAAAATTAAATATTATAGTACTTGTAAAATTCGGCAGATACGCCTTTGACGAATAGAAAGCCATTTAAACTTAGATATCTTAGATCGGATCTGGGAAAAATAGCCATACTTGCGTAAGCCGAAAATGAATTTAATGCAATTGTTGAGAAGGCGCTCCAACTTATAGATATTAAGATAGATCTGAGTAACACACACTCGCATAACCAACAATGGGTAATATCAAAGTCTGGATAACTAGAAGTTTAGTTTTTAAAAGGCAGAAACTTTTTGAGATGATAAAGAGAACGTAAGGTGGCAGTAACTTTACGGCTTATTTCAGCAAATTGAACTCCCCAGCTTGAGGTATGGTCTATATACTTAACGTTACGGACGGTATACAAACGACAAAGGTTGCTCAGATTTCTAATTCGAAAAAATAGAAATAAAATTTATTTTGGCCTATTTATATTGTATCGGGCACTGACTTAGAAGTATAGGTATTATATCTCTATGGTATCGGTTGTCCCAAAAAGAGAAAAAAGCAGGTATAATTCCTGGGATTTTTTGGGATAATTTCTTTAGCGGTGAAAATGACAAGGGCGTTCTTAAGTCAAACAGCCCTTTTTATTGTAATAAAAATTGTAGAATATCGGTATTTATTACCTGAGTGTAGCCCACGCTACCCATCTTTTGTAATTACGATTTACGAGACAGGGATATATAGAGTTTTTTTATTAGAACACCTGATGCCTGTATTATTAGGTGCTCCTGATTCTTTCTGGGAAATTCTGTATATAAGTCAAATAGCACAAGACTTTGCTGTTTGAGTGTTATGGTGATGTTACTTAAATAATTGTGAGTTTTCTTACCTAATCTAATGTAGAAGATCTTTGATATTACAAGCCCAGAAGAGGGTACACGGATCCCTGAATACATAGTAACATTAATAGTACCTAATTGGTTGGTGAGTTTAATTAGAGCCATCTTTTGTGCAACGTCTTAGCACCCATTAAACTCATTATACCAAAGTGTGGAGCATGTGGTAAATTTCTTACGTCGACAGGTGCCGTTACTTGTATCGTTGGTCCCTTATGTTTCATCGTGGATGTCTATTAATATCTGATACGGCAACTATAAGCAAAAATTCCTTTTACCCAGAATGCAAAAAGAAGTTACGAAAAGGGGGAATTTAATTATTACTTTAAAAGTATTTTTACTAGTTTTTGCTCACAAGATACAAGGTCTGAAAATGTTGATGGTGAATGCCACATAATTGACACAATATCTGGTCTAACCGTAACGAAGGACGATGTTTTTTAAATGCTTAAGTCGCTAGTAGTCCCTAAAGGTCCCGGATGTAATGGATGAGCACCTGTATTTATACACAACTGTTCTGATACATTAGCTTATCCTATTTATTATTTAATAAACCCTTAAAGTAATACGTCTTTCCTACATTGTGGAAGAAAGCATTTATTATACCGATGCATAAGAAGGTACCTACCTACCTACGCGCTTTGCGCTTAGGGCATGCAATTTAGCATTTAAAATTTGTTCGGAATTTTATTTTTTCTTATACTTCTACGCCATCTCCATCCAGAGTGAAAACAACAAGACCATATTGCTATAAGAATTTTTGGAATGTCATAGCTTAAAACAAGTTGATAATACTCCAATACACTTCACTAGCTACAGCGAAACACGACCAGATTTGATCTGTTAAGAATTATGATGCTTGAGTATGAAACACCATAGTCAAATACTTGCCCGATTTGGGAAGCCATGCCATTGTTACTGCAGAATATGATGTAAAAAACAAAAACATAATCAGGTAAGTTTTGGGGTAACCGATATACTTAATATTTAATAGCCATTAATTCATTCCAACTCAGCATTCACGACGCCGTTATTGTTAGTAGTGGCGTAAGAATATCCACTGCGCTGTATCATCACGTGGGTGTCATAGGAGTCGACATAGGGAAGAAAAGATGAGCAGCAGTATTCTTTTAATAACAACAGAATCATAAAACCTGTGATTGGAAAACCGCCTGTCAAGTGACTGCTATGGCATATACGGGATCCCACATAAATATTTTCTTAAAGGAAAGCCTATGTTAAGCAGTGGTCTTGTGAGCGGTTTTAATGGTGATGATTCATGATGCAACAGTACTCACTGACGAAATCTCGGTTATCGGTGTCGAACATCTTGAAAAGTACGACCAACACCTCGCCATCCATTAGCGCGTGCAGGCAGGCCTCATTCGGTTCCACGTCACTCATGTATAACACCTCCTTTACGCCCTCTTCCGTCAGTTGAACTAATTCCTTTGCCCCTACGTGAATATCTAAAAAATATAAATTGTGATGTTCTTTTGGATGCATTTAAAAAGCTGAGCGTGGTAGAGTCAAGCTACAGCTGTACTATGGCTGCATAAATGAATAAAAGGCAAGGGGCGAGATACAGGTACGTTTTGTAAAAGTCAATATGAAGGCAACTTTTACGTGGTAGAGCTAAGCTGCAGCTATATTTTAGTTGTAGCATGAATGGGTTGGCTCGACCAGGGCAGGACCACGATCTCACGGAATACCAGCGTAAAATAGCAGCGTAATATAAAATACTACTGTGTTTCTTGTAGAGAACCGAAGACCCGTTTTACTGGAATTGAGGCATTTCATTTTACTCCTCAGGAGTGACAACGCATTTGCATTTTGATTATTAATTGAGGATAAATGTGGATGTCTATGGGCCACGTTATCCACTTACCATCAGGTAGATTGTGTGCTCGTTTGTCACCCAATGCTATAAAAAAGGCACTATGTACCGCTTCCCGAAAACAAAATTGTTTTCCTTGTTGAAAATTTACCAAATTACTAAGTAGACCAAAAGACCAGGTAACTAGTTAGTAACTAGTTGGGACGAGGTTTGCGAGTACTGGGTAACTGAGTTTCTAACTGCTGGTTTTGTAACGATAAAATGGTTCGTCGAACAGTGTGAGATTTTGCGTTTTCATATAGCAATAATCATACAATACTATAATACATACATAATGGAACGGGGGAGTGGGCGGACCCCCGTCGCCACTAAAATGTCACTAACACGTCAATTCACACGTATAAATGTCAATACGAGATGTGTTTTGACAACAAATTTCGCATGGAAATTATTTAGAAAATGCTAAATATATATGTATTATATATACAAATAAATATTTATTAAAAATTAAACGATTTTTAATGATGTTCTTGAACATTAATCAAAAGTCTAAAATGTGTAAATTTACTCAGTCTGTCAACACAGCGAATCGGGTTTGACGACGCCAAGCCTCGTACAAAATAAAGTTGACAGCCATTCTATTGTGTATTGTAGTATTCTATAGCAATAATAGTGAAGATCGGGTGTGTTTCTCTAACAGTTTCGCCATCTTTTTTGAAGTGTATAGTAAGTGACGAGTGTGGTGATTACGGTCTGTAGCCCATGTACACCTTCAACTAACTTCGAACAAATAAGGATACGGGTGCATTGTCACCACCGAGAAACAAGATTGATTGCCTCACAGCCTGTTACAGTTTTGGCTCCCTATACCGATTTGGATCGGAACACCACCGTGCGTGCACTGCTGCTTGGCAGCAGAAATATATATGAGTGTGGAGTCTATCTGGATGGACGTGGAAAAGAAGTCCTATCATCGAGCATTCTATCATTGGATCCTTTTTATGAGTAAAGAGGATTTCCGGATACCTACACTGACAAAATGAAATACAGTCGTATTATCCCGTGATTTTATGTTGGTATCCTGTGAGAGCGTGGTTCTTCCCCGGTCGTGCCGATCTATTCGTGGAGTCGTTTCATATCTTCGGGTGCACGCAATGCTCTATTTAATATCAGAGAGGCTGCAGCATAGAACTGTTTAGAGATAATGAAAAATTACAATATGCTTCACATTAACCGAACAACTCACTGATGTGATCCCACTTCTCGTACAGATCGATGTGAGCCCGATGGCAGTGCGGCCAGTACATGATGTAGTTGAGACGGCGCACGTGGCGTGCCAGCCTCTCTGCTATTCTCTTCTTCCTGGCAGCCAGCGTCAGCATGCGCAAGCGTTCCCTTGCCTCTCGAGTTTCCTCTTGTAACTTTGCATCCACTTCTCTTTTTGCCTGAATTTTGTCTATGGTTAATATATTTTAAACAATTTAAACTTAAGCTTGATCTTTTACAATAAATTGTAAATACCATGTTATTTTGTTAAAAAAGATATTAAATTAAAATACGAGTTTAATAATCTCATTTTCTTTCTGCCCTATTTCCCCAATTATTTGGGGTTGGCATAACATGTCATATTGTAACATATTGTCCATAAAACAATTCATTTATCTTTTTTTAGGCCTCCTTCCTACTCTTATATCCATTCACTTTCATTGTTAACATTCTTCTCGTTACACGGTTTAGTAATTGGAAGTATATAAAAGTTATAAAAGGTTGACCTCAGGTAGATGGAGACATAAAATTTTGGGAATTATAATTAGATTTATGTAATTGCTTGTAAATACTTCCCTATGTATAATTAAAGCAATTTTGTCGTTTGGTGGTGGCTTTAGAAAATCTATCACACAAATTCATCTCGTGAGTGGCTTAAGAGGCGACTTTGGGTAATCCTTGAAAGATCCTATGGCTTCCGACAGACGGACCATTATATACCATATAGCCATTCCGTTTACACCAGGCGTAAAATACCTGAGTAAGTTCTCACGTCTGCACGCAAAGCCTTAATGTACAAGGCTATTGCAGACTATACTCGCCTTAAGTATAATTATTGTTGTAATTTTCACACTCACCGATTCTTCAGGAAGCATTTCAGAAATCTCCTGTTTAGCCCGCAACAAACCAGTCTCCAATTCCGCTTGAAGCAGACCCAACTCCTCCACGATGAGGCGACCTAATTCGATTCCGTTAGCGCCAAACATTGCCCGTGTCAGTTTTCCCATCTGTTAACATTTAAAAGTAACAGTCAGACAAAGACAGACAGGCCCTCACAACCTTTTGTTCCGTCCATCCATCGATTGCAGCCTGTTAAAGTCCACTGCTGAGCATAGACCTCCCACTAGATTGTCTCATAAGGGAGATATTCGCCTTAATTGCCACTCTTGGCAGGCGGATTGCCTACCGCAATTTTTTTAATTATTTAGTTGCTATTGGAAAGACGCAATCGCGACGATTTTTATACGTGGTAGAGCCACGTTGCAGCTATATTATGGTTGTATCACAAATGGCTCGGCTCAACCGGGGAAAGACCACGCTCTCACAGAATACCAGCGTAATACTGCTGTGTTTCGTATGGTGAATGTAGAGATCCAAAGACTCTTTTTTACTGGAAACGAGGCATTTCATCTTAGTCCTTAGAGCTAACAACGCATCTGCGTTTTGATTGTTAAAAATTAAAAGTAAAGTTACAGCCTATATACGTCCCACTGCTGGGCATAGGCCTCCCCTCATTTCTGAGAGGGTTTCAGGGCAAGGAAGTGTCCGGCGCGCTGTCCCAATGCGTGTTGGCGAACTTCACATGTCGTCAAATATTTTTTTCCTTATTCCTCAGATATGCAGGTTTCCTCACGATGTTTTCCTTCACCGACAAACACAACACACAAACATCGTGATCAGCACTTAAAATTGCAATTAACAGTTTCATTGATGTCGGCGGGGATCGAACCCGGGTTACTCGCGTTCTGTTATATTTACAGCGAACGTTAATCATCTGAGCTACCACGGCACACCGTACCTGGCAACCGGTAACGCTATCAGGAAAGGCAAATTAGAAATTGGTCAGGATAAAATAGCTATGGTCAAGGTATTAAATGAGTACTGTATAGATTATTATACAGAAATCATTAAATTTGTATTTGTATTGTTGTAGTACGAATGGATCGGCCCGATAAGGAAAGGACCACGCTCTCACATAATACCAGCAATAGTAGCTCAATGCTGCTGTGTTTCGTATGGTGAGTGTAAAGAACGGGAGACGCTTTTTACTGGAAACGAGGCATTCCACCTTAGTCGCCAGGAGTGGCAACCATGACTTATTTCTCTCCGTTGCATCGCTCTGTAAGATAAAGTTTTCATTTGAAGTTCCAGGCTCGGTAAATACTATTATAACTAATACTATATAAAAAAAACTAATACTTATAAAAACAAGAGCCGCAAAAAATGGTAAATAAATGCGTTATAGACCTTCATCATCATTATCATTATCATCATCATTACAGCCCTTCACAAGTCCACTGCTGAACATAGGCCTCCCCCAAGTAATGCCACAAAGCACGGTCCTGAGCCACCTGCATCCATCGACTTCCTGCATGTCTTACCAGGTCGTCACTCCATCTAGTGGGGGGTCGCCCTACACTACGCCTACCGGTACGAGGCTGCCACTCGAGAACCTTTCTTCCCCATCGGTTACCGGTTCTTCGAGCTATATGGCCGGCCCATTGCCACTTCAGCTTAATAATCCGTTGGGCTATGTCGTTCACTCTGGTTTTACTGCGAATATCCTCATTTCTGAGTCTATCACGCAGAGAAACTCCGAGCATAGCCCTCTCCATAGCTCGCTGAGCGACCTTGAGCGTCCTCATACGGCCAGCAGTGAAGAACCACGTCTCTGATCCGTAACTCATCACTGGCAACACGCACTGGTTGTACACTTTAGTTTTCAGAGATTGAGGTACCCCTGACGAGAAGATGTGTGAGCCGTTACGATTGACCTCTCGGTCGAAGTTGGACTTATCTAGTCGGACTATTTGTCCCAGGTAAACGTACTCGTCAACAACTTCGAGCATAGTGCTCCCAACAACTACCGGCAGAGGTGAGACATGGACATTAAACATGATCTTTGTTTTGTCCATGTTCATCTTAAGACCTATCCGTTGGGAGACACATTGAGGTCATTGAGCATAGTGCTAAGGTCCTCCAGCGATTCTGCCATAAGGACTATATCGTCGGCAAACCGAAGGTAAGTGATGTACTCGCCATTGATGTTAATACCGTATCCTTTTCTGTCCAGTAGCTTGAAAACGTCTTCCAATGAAGCGGTGAAGAGTTTCGGGGATATAACATCACCCTGTCTTACACCTCTCTGCAGTTGGATAGATTTCGAGCTCTGATTCTGTACTCGGATAACCATCGTAGCCCTACTGTACAAAAACTTTAGCACTTCGATATACCGACAGTCACTTGGCACCGCTGAAGAGGCTGTAGCACCGCCCAAATTTCGACGGAATCAAAGGCTTTCTTATAGTCCACATACGCCAAGCAAAGTGGCAGATTGTACTCTTCGGTCTTCTGTACAATCTGCCGCAGGGTATGTATGTGGTCTATGGTACTGAAGCCTTTTCGGAAACCGGCTTGTTCGGGAGGCTGGAAGTCGTCGAGTCTGCGTGCGAGACGATTCGTAATGACTCTCGAAAACAGCACGTAGACGCGGCTCAGAAGGGAAATCGGTCTGTAGTTCTTCAAGAGAGCGTTGTCGCCTTTCTTAAAGAACAAGACCACCGCACTTCTACTCCACGCCTCCGGAGTAGTGCCACCATGGAGGACGGAATTGAAGAGCTTCTGAAGGACTTCAAGTACCGGTGTTCCACCCGCTTTCAGAAGCTCCGCTGTAATTCCATCCTCGCCTGGGGCCCTGCCGTTTTTAAGGTGCTGGAGAGCCATTCTAATCTCGCTCAGACTGACGTCCGGGATATCATCGGAATAGTGTCGGGTAAGACTTGCTCTTGGATCGTTACTCACACTTGCGTGTGACTCCAACGATGATGTGTACAGCTGCCCATAGAACCTCTCAATCTCACTAAAAATCTCAGGTGTCTCGGAAACGATGCTGCCACACTCAGTCTTCAGCTTTGACAGTTGGCTCTTTCTGGCAGACAGATCTCTGGCAAAGACTTTGGAGCCCTGGTTCCGCTCGATCGCTTCTTTAATACGAGCAGTATTAAAGTTGCGTAAATCTCGCCGCATGCATTTGGGGATCTGTCTGTTCAGTTGCCTGTATGCTGTCAAATCTGTTGACGATTGCAGCCTCATCTCCCGTCTAACAGCCATGAGATTAAGAGTGTGATCGGAGAGTTTTTGTGTTCCTCTGCGGCGGGTCTTGCAGAACTTAGCTCCGACCGCATGGACAGTTTCCACGAGCTTGTCATTCATATCGTCCACTGCATTGCAATCTTCTAGGCACTGAAAGCGGTTACGTAACTCGAGCTGAAAAGTCTCGGGATTCTGGATTAGAGCACGAGGGGGGACGGAGCGTTGACTTCATTAGACGAGACCTCTCCAACTTAACATTTAGGTTCAGTGTGCCTCTAACCATACGGTGATCGCTGCCGGGGGTCGTCAAGTCAATCTCATTTTTTGTCGAACCGTCGGGGCTCGACCAGGTCCTCTTCCTGTGGGGCCGCTTCTGGAAGAAAGAGTTCATCATAAAGAGTCCCTCTTTCTCCATAAAGTCATGCAGCTGCTGGCCCCTACGGTTCCGTTGCCCTACTCCAAATTTCCTAACTTCAGCTCACCGCCTTCTCTTGTGCCTAGTTTTGCGTTGAAGTCTCCCATCAACACCGTGTAGTGGCTTTTGGAGGAATGCATGGCTCTAGAAATATCCTCATACATTTCCTCCACCTCCTCATCGGGATGTGCCGAGGTTGGTGCGTAGACCTGTATGACCTTCAGCGAATACCGTTTAGTGATTCTGAGTATCAGGTACGCGACCCTCGTCGACACACTCCCAATCTTTACAACGTTGTTGACGAGAGACTTGTGGACGATAAATCCGACACCTCCTTGGGACAGATGGTCGCCCTCCCGGTGATAGAACAAGTTGTCGGACTCGAGGATTACCGTGTCCTCCCCCTCTCTTCGGACCTCAGATAATCCAATAATATGCCAGCGCAGCTTGTCTACTTCTTCTTCCAGCTCCTGTATCTTTCGTCAGTCCTCGGGGTGCGTGCGTTATACGTTGCCAGGTCGAGTCGTCGTAGGTGGCAACCGAACCTCCACTGGAGATTCTTAGCACCCCTTGCCCCGCCGTTACCATGGTCGCCACCGTAGCCAGGAATAGCGGGGCCGCCGGGGACTGGGGGCCGTTTATTTGCGTCGTTGCTCATGGGGGGATATTTGCCATAGTTGCCACGCTTGGCGAGCGGGTTGGCAACCGCAGTTTTTTATTATGTTATTGTTGTTATTAGGAAGATGCTGCTGCCCATCTCCTTTCTGTGTCCCTCTGTCGCCTCTTACGACACCCACGGGAAGATATGCGGGTAGTGGATATTCTCAACCGCCACTATACGGCCTTATAGACCTTACCGTTATAAAAAGAAATACTGGTTCACTTTTGCCTTTAAACCTTGAGAGGGCATCTACTTTATCGGCGAGTACCTGAAAATATAATGCGATTATGATATACAGTTCTTTACCCTCCACTGATTTTTTTAATAGTATAAGAGTGACTAAAAAGCACACAGTTTACCTGATGGTAAGTGGATGCTGTTACCCAAGACATCTACATTTAACCTCGATTAAGAATTAAAATGTAATTGCGTTGCTATCTCTGAGGATTAAGATGGAATGCCTCGTTTTTAGTCAAAATGGTCTCCGATTCTCTACACTCACCATAAGAAATATAGCGGCATTGAGCTGCTGTATTTCTTATGGTGAGAGTATTATATTGCTGATATTGCTGGTATTCTGTGAGAGCGTGGTCCTTTCCTTATCGAGCCGACCCATTCGTGCTACAATTACTATAATATAGCTGCAGCATAGCATATATCTCCACTACATATAAATTTAATGATTATGTCTGAATATAATCTATACAGTACTCATTTAATACCTTGACCATAGCTATATTGTCCTGACCAATTTCTAATTTGCCTTTCCTGATAGCGTTACCGGTTGCTAGACACGGACCACAGAAGTCGGAATATACTTCCATACCTGTCGAGAAAGAAATATCCTGAATTTTAAAGATAGCACAATTTTAATTAAAATAGCAAGGTTTAAGATTTTATCATACACCATCTAAATGAAAATTAATTTATATATCTAAGTTAATAGCTGTTAGTAGTCCTTTTTGTATTTAGGAGTCCGTCTGGTTAAATACTGTGGCAGCACTCTATCGCGCCACAATAACTTAAACGGAACGAAAAACAAACGGTAATTACACTTCAGGCCGGAGCACAGAGTCATAGTAAAAACAGAATAGTAGGACAACTTCCGCGCCATGCGAAACTTAAATTGCAGGGTCTTCACTGTGTTTTATTTAACAGCTAAGTTTCGTATAGTTTTATAAGTGGTTATAATATTTACAAGCATAATACAGACAAATACTTATCTATGCATCATATTTGTTAATCATTTCTTTAATTTCATCTCAAAGAATCAATGTTTGTCAAAAAAAATCCATCTTTACATTACAATAAATGCCAAATAACTAAAATACGAGTAAATTAACACTGAGCATAATATGATGTCAGCTCAGATTTAATGTTTAAAATTAATTTGACCTGATATGATATTTAATGTACTTATGAGGTATGTATCCATTAGAGATGGACCGAATATTCGTTTTGTATTCGGTATTCGGCATATTCGGCAGCTTTACCGAATATTCGTATTCGGCCGATTTTTCGTCTAAATCACCGAACATTCGTTAAAGTCGTACTCAAAGTGTCCACTGTATTGAAATGTACTAATTGAGTAATGCCATGTCTTTCATAACTTTACTTTTGAAAGTTTATTTTATTTATGGGTTAAATTTACTAGTATATCGTTATGTTTTTGAGGCACTGTAAATTTATTTCTAATTATAGCAAATAGAAAGCTTGATAATGTTTTTAATCAAACAAAGAAACATTACATTACATTAATACATTTCACTTTACTTTGGTCGTCAGTTTCTCTAAAATAAGTCCAAATAGTAGATCTCCTGCCACTCGTTTTTATCATATTATTATCAATTTTCACTAAGAATAACACAACGAAATTCTTTTTTTTTACAAAAGTAGTCAAAACATAAACATGTGCCAGCAATTTTCTCAGTACTATTAATAATTTATAGATGATGCAGTAATATGTCAGGTGTGGCGGGGGAGCGAGGGGCAGGGTCCGGAGCTATTCCCGCGCGTTTTACATTAACAAATTTAGACATAAATTGGTTAGGTAACCGAGGTAATCCCGCCGAATAATGTTCGGCCGAATATTCGGTTCGGTAAAAGTTTTACCGAACATTCGGCCGAATATTCGTATTCGGTGAAATCCATATTCAGCCCATCTCTAGTATCTATGTATAGATATAGTAATATAACCTATTAATAAAAAGCAAATTTACTTACACAAAACGCATATACAACATGTAACATAATTAACGCACTTTGAGAAAGTAGTTTGTTCAGAATCGTTTACTGAATCGATTCCTATCATTTTTAATATAGGTAATTTTTTATCCCAAAAATAATCAAAACTACGTAAATTACAGTCACACTAAATCTGTACAGTCAAAACAAACTGAAATGGACCGTAACTTAAGGCAATAAAACTTTTAAGAGTGCAGTTTTATTTGTATTATTACTAATTCTGTCATTCAATAAAAATAAAGAAAAATGAACTTTATTTCAAGCACGTTAAAGTCTTTGCGTTCGTGGATTTGTACTGTGACCACAACATTCTTCCGGAATTAGTATAACTAATTTGATAAATAAATGTTAAACTAAAAATTCAGTGTATGTATTATGATTATAACATAATATACTAATTGAGGTGTTACATATTGTATTTATTTATTTTACAAAAAGAGAAAATAAAATGAAACAAAGACTGCTAGCAACATTTTATTAAAAGTAAACATAGTCTCAAACAAAGGTGATTGCGGAACGCGGCGGTGGGCGTTCCCGACTCGGCCCGGTCTTCCCGACTTAGCAAGTGTCGTTGTGTGCGTGCTGTGGCTCGTGTCGACAAGTCCGTACTGTCACGTGTCAGGCACGCACACATATTAGCGGCGTTCAGTACATTTCTTAGAACATAACCTACTATTCTATTTTACTATGACAGAGTGCAATCACTGATGTTTAGTGGCAAAAATAAGTAACAGCATAGTTCCTACCCGGTCGGAGTTTAGACGACAGAAAGGGATTCCTATTATCTAGTTAATTATACGAGGTAGTCCATTAACTCATTTTTTGTTATTATTAAAGGTTACAAAGCATTATTACAGAGAAAAAAATAAACCTCATAGAATACCAGCGTAAAATTGTAGCTTAATGCTGCTATTTTGCGCTGTCCGCAGCTGATGGAGAAACCGGAGACTATTTTACTGGAAACGAGGCATTCTTATCTTAGTCGTCAGGCGTGACTACGTACCTGCACTTTGATTCTGAATCGACGATAAATGTAAATGTCTAAAGTCCACAGCATCCACTTTTTTTATAGGATAGGGTGACAAACGAGCACACAGTCCACCTGATGGTAAGTGGTTGCTGTGGCCCATAGACATCTACATCTATCCTCAATTACGAATAAAAATGCAGATGCGTTGTCACCCGTAAGGACTAAGATGGAATGCCTCGTTTCCAGCAACTACAACGCATCTGGATTTTGATTCGTAATTGAGGATAGATGTAGATGTCTATGGGCCACAGAAACCACTTACCATCAGGTGGACTGTGTGCCCGTTTGTTACCCTATCCTATATAAAAGAAAAAGAAAACGTAGTTTCGGATTTTTCCAAACGTCAAATGATCCCCACCAGAGTTGCACAGCCGTTGAGGATTGTAAGTGGCTACAGTAACTAAGGGTGTTTCCTCACCAATCGATTGGTCCTCGATCGTTGCCATGGATCGATGTCGATCAACGTCAATCGATTGGTGTGATAGCTTTAGCTAATAGACGGATACTGGTTGATAAATCATCATCAATCATCGATCAACGTCGATCGACAATTTATCGATGTGGTTGTGGGTTCATCATCAGTGTCTTTCAAAATGTATTTAGAAGAGGACAATAAACAGGGAGCAGTCGGTGGTGCGGGGCGGGCTATCGAATAATCAAGCAGCTCGATCGACATTTAATCCATTCTACTATCGCTCGATGCATCGACCGATCAGTGTAGTAGAAACTATTGATCTACGTCGACTAATCCATGCCATTACCGATCGATCAGTGTGGAAATACCCTTATGGAAAACTATTCCAAACAAAGAAGACTACATATGCATTTACTTACATATCAGCTGATTATAATGAGCTGCCAAATATTCCTCAAACTCCTCATTAGTTTCAACAGAGTCTTGTATAACAATTTGCCCTTTACGCGCCATCTTTTATTTATTTTAAAGAATAAAAATATTCAGTTTACCTTCACAAGCTTTTTTTACTTTTTACTAGGTTAATTCTGTCAAACTCTACCAAAGAGTATATAAATCACTGCGTTTGTTATTTTAGACAATTATTTTAATATTTGTGTTAGACGATTAAAAAGACGTATAAAAGTACATTTTATACGTCTTTTATTATTGTCGTATTTGGCCCACTTTGCAGAAAGGGTGCACGAATGTCCACTAACCCATATTGTTCTGTGGGTATGGTCAAAGGCGTTAGGAGGAAACCAGCAGATGAGCAGCAGTGACTTTCTAATACAACTAGAATACAAAAAAAAGCGTTAGCCAACCCGCCCACTAAGCGCAGAAACTTCGGCAAATATCACTCAATGAGCAATGACACAGAAATAAACCCCAAGATCCCTACAGCCCCGCTATTCCTGGCTATGCTAGTATGGGTTATCTTAACTAGGAATAGCGAGGCTGCAGGTAAAGCCCTTCAGAAGTTCTTCAATTCCTTCCTTCGTGGTAGCATGGAAGCATGGCGCAGAAGTGTGATAGTATTGTTCTTCAAGAAAGCCGTCAAGGCTCTACTGAAGAACTACTGAAGGGTTTTCTTTCTTAGCCCCATCCACGTTTGTAAGTGGTAACCACATCGCAGCTCCATTACGATTGTATTACGAATAGGTCGGCGCGATAGGGAAGGGGCTACGCTCTCACAGAACACCAAACTGTAATTGTAGCTTAACGCTGTTGTGTTTTGTATAATGAGTGCAGAAATCTGAAGACCCTTTTTACTGAAAACGAGGCATTCCATCTTAGTCCCCAGGCGTGACCACGTACCTGCACTTTGAATCTGAATCGACGATAAATGTAAATGTCCAAAGTCCACAGCATCCACTTTTTTATAGGATATGGTGACAAACGAGCACAGAGTCCACCTGATGGTAAGTGGTTGCTGCGTCCCATAGACATCTACATGTATCCTCAATTACGAATCAAAATGCAGATGCATTGTCACCCGTAAGGACTAAGATGGAATGCCTCGTTTCCAGTAAAAAGGGTCTCCGATTCTCTACACACCCCATATAAAACATAGCAGCATTAAGCTACTGTTTCACGCTGGTATTCTGTGAGAATGTGGTCCTTTCCCGGTCGAGCCGACCCATTCGTGCTACAACTATACTTCTAATATAACTGCAGCATGACTCTATCATATTTACTTAGCATTAAGTGGACTATGTACTCGTTTTTTACTCTTATTATATATTAAACGTATTGTTTTCTAGAGTCATTTCGAATCGTCTTGCAAGTAGACTTGATAACATAGTTTACTGTTTACGACAGATAATAAAACTGAAAATGAAATGGAACCATGTATGGATCCCTGCGGAACACACATTAGCACAATTCAATGTAAAAACAAAGTAACAAATTTTTCTGCGTTGTCGATATAACCATTTTCGTTATCCTAAAAGCTAAATTAAAAAAGTCAAGTTGCTTATTGTTGCAGCACGAATGTGTCAGCTCGACCAGGGAGGGACTACGCTCTCACAAAATACCAGCGTAAAAATCAGCTTAGTCCTGCCGTCTGTCGTATGGTGAGTATAGAGAACCAGAGGACCTTTCTACTTTTTACGCATCGGCGTTTTGATTCTTCATTAAGTATGTAGATGTTTTGAGCAATAGCATCCATTTACCGTCAGGTGGACTGTGTGCTCGTTTGTTACCCTTATTTTATAAAAAACAAGAGTAGCGTCAAGGTTCGATAACGAAGCTCGTACGCTAAGTTAACGATTACGGCAATGGTCTAAGATAACGGCAAATTCTCCAGTTTAGGAGAGGCCTACGTCGATGCCATAAGACTTTTACGATTGCAATCTATTGCTATATTACGCTGATACTCTGTGATATCGTGGTCCTTCACCGGACGAGCCAACCCAGAACGTGCTGCACGCATAATATTCTGCAAGTGGTTTTATCGCGTAAAATAAACTCTATTCCTTATATCAACCTCCTTCCTGTGACTGTGCCTATTATTTTCATATAATGTTTATAAATGTCCACCATCTTTGTAATTTACGTCACTGTCATTTAATATGATAGCTGAAGCACAGAAGAAATTTGAATTATGATTAAAATTATAGTATATTTTGATATTTGATACACGTTTTTTGTAAAATCGATTATTCTAGACTAATTATTCTTATAATGAAGTTTCAATTTGCAAGTCAATTTAGAGTCTTCAAAGTGTTAATGTGGAAGCATTACATTGTGCGGAAGAGGCGGTTTTTGATAGCTTTCGTTGAGTTGTTTACGCCTTTCTTAACGTTTTTGTCCATGATTGCTTTTAGAAGTGCCATAGAAAATAGGTCTGAGGAATTTAGGTTACCTGTGTTGGTATGATAATTTCTACACATATCTACTAAATTAGAGATAGACCAAGCATATTTTTCATAGAATACTAGCAAACCACCCCAGCTTTGCACGGGAGTTTTCGATCTCGACAACATGTATTTTACATATGAACCTTTCTCTTGAATCATTCTTTATGTTGATGAAAACTACATTAAAATCCATTGCGTAGCTTAAAAGATCTAAGCGTACAGACGGTGGGAAGCGACTTTGTTTCATACTATGTAGAGAAGAGTGACAAACGAACTCACAGTCTACCTGATGGTAAGTTGATGATATCTACATTTATTCTCAAGTAAGAATCAAAATACAAAATGCGTTACCACCTCTGAGAGCTAAGATGGAGTGCCTCGTTTCCAGTATAAAGTGTCTCCGATTCCACACGAAACACGGCAGCATTAAGCTGCTATTTAACGCTGTTATTCTGTCCAGTTCCGTACGGAACTTTTACGTCTGTATTCTATGAGACTGTGGTCCTTCCTTGGCGCCGACCTGTTCGTGTTACAACCATAATATAGCTGCAGCGTGGCTCTATTACGTATAAAAACCAAGAAGTTTGGTGATTAAAAATCAGGAAATTACACTAAGTTTAGGCTCGTTTAAAATTCTTTTATAAAACCTAATACTTACTAGTTTTATATATGTTTTAATAACGAGATTTCGATAGAGATAAAACTCGCAGGAAACATTGGAGTCCATTTGTTATCCTGATTTTTTTAAAAATAGAAAGTTATTAAATCAATTTTTTATACATATACGAATAAATGAATGTAATTATTTTAAGTATATTAAAATTTATTTCATTGTGCCAACCGATCACTCGTATAGTTGCGTCGTAAGACTTAATCGTCTTGCGGGTCCGGTAAAAGGTGACAGAGAGCAATAAAGCGAAAGATGGACGGCAGCATCTTTCAGATAACAATTCAAAATAATAAAAATCAGCGGCCGCCAATCTGTTTGCCAGGCGTGCCAACTGAGGCTAACTAATTATTTATTATTATATCTACTCGTATATCTTCTAATATATATATATATCCGTCCGAGAGCAGTGGTAGCTCGGATGGTTAACACTCTAAATATGAATATAACAGAACGCGAGTAACCCGGGTTCGATCCCCGCCGGCACCAATGAAATTGTTAATTGCTATTTTAAGTGCTGATTTACCATGTGCTCGGCGGTGAAGGAAAACATCGTGAGGAAACCTGCATGTCTGAGGAATAAGAAGAAAAATATTTCGAAGACATGTGAAGTTCGCCAACACGCATTGGGGCAGCGCGGCGGACGCTTCCTTGCCCTAAAACCCTCTCAGAAATGAGGGGAGGCCTGTGCCCAGCAGTGGGACGTATATTATAGGCTGTAACTACTAATATATATATATATATAATATGTTTAATATATATATTAGAATATATATATTAGAAGAAGACGTTCTCATTTTCAAATTATGAAACAAATTATAATAACCTTAGTCTTATAGGAATAATGAATATGTAAATAAGTAAAATATTAAGTATACCCTTATTCCGATAAACAGAATGAAAAACTTTTTCATTCTACACTTTTGTAGCTCTTTTGACCATATCCTCTTTAATAAATCTTTAAGAAAATTACACTGGGTGGGTATAGTGGGTGGTGGTTCAGTTGCACCCCAAATTATACAAAACCCTATCAACTTAAAGAAACGCCTAAAGCCCTACTTATATTAGTAGATTTACCCTAAAATAGTGTAAAATATCAAAAATTGGAAACACTGCACGGACGCACGGCACGCATATGGGCTCGCGTTGGTGCTCCATAAATATTTCGTACCATGAGTCGGTGCCATTTTCTTTGTTCAATGACCCGGTCCATACGCAGTAGTATAATACGTCTATGGGTAAAATCCTTTCTATTGGACATTAATGCCCGACCTATGATTAGCAGCACACTTTTAAAAGGCTGTAAATATAATTATAATGAAAATGGACAATCGATCACTAAAACGGAGAATACAAATAGAATAATCATATTCGTCTGCATCCTTATCCTCCAAGTAGTCGTCAATTTATAGCAGGATTTACTAGCGACGGTATTTAGCCTCTTAATTTACACACTTTTAATTGATATAACAGAAGCTCTCCCTGGACTCTCGAACTTCGGACCCGCGTATCCTGTACACCCCAGACACTGATTTGACACGGATGCTCATGGATCAGGTCGGCGAAGCTTTATATCTTCCTCGCTTCGATGCTGTACCAAGTAAGGTCTAGTATTATCAGGACGAGTATGAATTCCTTTTATCCGATACGCACTGCACATCGTCGCAGTATGATCAGAGTACTTAATATAGTATAGTCACTCAGTCTCATATCTAGATATCTATATATTATATAAACCATATAATATACCACACTAAAAAATGAACACACAGTCCACTCAAAGGTAAGTGAATGCTGTTGCCTGTCTTCATGAAGCTGCTATTTTATGCTGGTATTCTGTGTGAGCGTGGTCTTTTCCGGCCAAGCCGGATGCTAAACTATAATAATGATAGGTCGAGGAAAATGGTTCTTCGTATTTTGTTTGTATAAAATTAAAGAAAAATCTC